TTAAACTGCTTCCAGACGCATCCCAGGTAATATTCGGAGTAACAGAGACAGTAAGCACCCAAAAACAATGGTTTGCTTTGGACATGTTAAAGGAAGTACTTAACCTTAAGTAAGATCACTTTCATCTCGAATGTCACTAGGATTATTATATTACAAATCTCTAGAGATGTTGTTAAATGACTGTCACTTAAGAATACGTTCAACCTTTTATTTGGTTGCGTATTAAAGTTGCTATGTACCATAACTACTACAATTAATGGAGTGATTAGCTAGCTTGCACGTACTATTCAGTTGGTGGATTTACTAATTAATTGCAACCTATTTGGGAAAGAACAGTCTTAGCCAACAACAAAACAAGTTGAACCACATCTGTAAGATAACAGTGCTTGTTTATAAAGCGAGCCCAAGAAGATGTTTCTATCAAAGAAAGTCCATCTCCGCGTTAGATGTGTGTCATGAATTGTACTTGTCAAAGATGAATGGTAAGGAGACTGCACCTGAAGCAAATTTTATCTCAAGCAAACATGGTAACATACTAACTACCATTCCCAGAGTAGTTCTTGATTTTGTTGGAGAAAATGATATCTGATTTTATGTGCATAAAATACTAAGTTCACCAAATTAAATTGAGCCTATAGTTGCACCTACTACGCTTTAATTTCTGCATCTCTAGATCTCTCTTCCTAGCATGCTGGTAGTTCATGGGGATGCGGTCAGGCCAGATTGCAAATATATGTGCCGTCCTCCCTCGCTTTTTTGTTAAGCTACCATTCATTTCTCTGGCTCATAATTATCTTAAATCTGTTATTTAGTTGGCACGTTTATCACTTCTCATAAACTAAAACATATCCCAAAACATGTACTATTTATAACTGTATTTAGTAATGCGTTCGGTTTGTATTGGAAAATAGTATTTTTCAAAGTGTTTTTTTTAGCTAAAAACATATATATATATATATATAACAGAGGCTAAAAAGATGGGTTGAGGATAATATATGGGTAAGAATAAGCTAAAAATGCATCACCAACTGGTTTCAAAAGGTTTTGCTTCCCAAATAAAATATGGATTACTTTCATAATGGAGTAGGTCCATCCAATGGGCCTCTGACGTCTTGGCCAACTTTCACAAGCTTTCTGCCTGTGAGGTTGTCCTGGGCTCCTAGCTTTGTGATTGGGTTGTGCTTGATGCTTTATTTACTCGTGGTTCAATGACCAAAATTGCAACATTCTATTGTAATTTTACAATTTCAACCATTTATTATCGATTTACATAATTTAAATTTTAAAATATTAATTTTTTAGTAAATTTTATTCAAATAAATTAATTATAATGATGAATCCAATTGATCGTTAATTTTTTCTATTTTTTCACTATAATTTATTTTTTAAAAAATGTTAAAATATATTTCTCTATTTTTGAAGAGATATTTTTTCTTTTTAAAATTTTCATATATTAATTCTTTTTATTTTTCACAGTCAATCAAATTATTATTTATATATAACCTTTTTCTAAAAAAAATAACTTTTATATAGTATCATTATCTATTAAAACAATCAATTTTTACAATTAATAAAATACATCAATTGGATGAATTTGATCAACTGAAATTATCAAATAATTAATTTTAATTGAAAATTTTCTTTTTTTATGCCAATAAATTTATTATTATGATTGTCAATCATTAAATATTAAATATAATTGTATTTATTTAATATTTTATATCCTCACTTGTTTTATAGGATTTTTTTTCTCACAATTGATTCAAATATATAATATGGATTTAAAATTTTTAGAATTAGAAAACTATTTTATTGAAACTTTTCTAATTTTATTTTATTTTATTTATTTATTTATTTATTAAGATAAGTTCAAAAAGTGAAAGCTCTTTTTCGTAAAGAACCCAAAAAAAAAATTAATGAATTTTTTTTTATTTATGGGTAAATGGGTGGATAAAAATTTCTCTTTTGAAAAAGAGGAAAAGCATTATTAACACCTTTTAAAAAAAAATTAAAAAAAAATAGTTGAAAAAAATTGACGGCCAACTAGATTGACCATTACAATTAATAAATTTGAATAAGATTTACCTAAAAGGCAGAAGAGGTATTCAGTCATTCATCTTATAAAATAAAAATTATTAATTATTTTTGAACTAATGTAAAATTTCTTCTCAATTAATTAAGAGCTTCAGTATTGCATATGCTTCAATTAATTGCTCACAGTCACATTGCAGGGCAGATAAAAGAATATTTTTAATATAGGTAAATTTACGGATCCTTCTCTCTCAGGAAAAACAAAATTATTAAGTTTGACTTTTTTACACATATTAAGAAAGTTGTTAATTTTTATATAGTATCATATTTTATATCCATGTTTTTAAAAATATCTTCATTCCAGTTGTAGGTCTCTTAAAAGATAGACTTGAATTAAGAGTATTAAAGAAAAATACATTCTTAATATTTTGACTAAAATAATTATTTGTAACAAACAAAAATAGAAAATAAAAAAATCTTTTTAGAATGAGCATGAACTACTCAAAAAAAAATGGAGTAGTTTACTTAAATAAGATATCTTAAAATTTTATTTGCAAAAACATGATTGTTTTAATCTTATTTATCACAATATAATATTTTTGTCGATTATAACAAATCAACTACACATGCCATTTTTTTTAACTAAGTTTTGTAAAATTTTATAAAATTATTAATTAATTTAGCAGGAAAAAAAAAACGAACTGCCTTGTGTATGTGATTTATCCAAGTGGCAAAAAATATCTTGATTTGAAAAATAAAATTAAAACAACATTGTTTTAACAAATAAGATTTATGAATATTTTATCTGAACAAAACACTAAAAAATATGTGTGTGTTTTTTATGTGTAAATTAATTAATGTCAAAAAAGCTATAAAAAATGCACTCAAATCTTTTACTTTTTTGTCAAGAACATGTTTCTTTTGTATATCAATGCTAACTGGTGATGGCACATTTGCATTATACTGAATGTTTGGGAGCAAATGTAACTAAAGGAACAAATCACTGTGGGCAATCGTCCACACACTAAATCCGCCCCTGGCTGGCCTTGAAGAGAAATTAACAAAATGGAAAGAAGAAAAATGATAGCACTAGAAGAATGTAGATAGTGGCGAATGAAACAAACAAATAAATAAATAAGATGGGACCACTAACCATGATTTTATGGATCATATTAATAGATAGAAGTCTAACTTTTGATTGGATTATTTGATTAACGCAAATTATATTAATTTAAAAAATTTATTGAGAAGTTCATTTTATGGAGAAACTCATTTTAGAGATCAAAATCCACTTTGAAAACTTATTTTTAGGTTTTATTTTTTTATCCATGTCCAAATTTTTGTTTAAGTATTGATTATTTTCGGATTTAAAAATGATTTATTGTTTTTTATTTAGTCCTTATGTGTTTAACACAAACTATTTAACCTTATCTAATACCGTAGTTCATTAATAAATTTTAAACTCAAGAATTTTCTACAATTTTACTCTATATTGTTTGTTTTTAAGGTTTTTAGAAATTAATAACTTTATATCTCATTATACAGCTGTGTCAAATAAGAAAAAGACATGCGAATTAAAAACAGCTCAATTGAACACCCCCATCTAGCATGGAGAAATTTTATGACAGCCAGAAAATAACTAATATATATATGCATTAATTATTTTATGGATATATTTTTAAGAAGTTAGATAGATACACATAAATAAAAAAAAAAAAAATCACATATGAATGTATAAAAAATAATAAAAAAGATATACACGTTAGCTCAATTTTTTTCTCTCATATTTCTCTTTTGTTTTTTCTATGTTTGTCTCTATGTAAAAAAAAATATACTAGTTATTTATTGATTATTATAAAATTTCTGAAATTAGATTTAAGAAATCGAGTATGCATGTTTCACGACAAAGAAACCAAGATCTCAACATCATGAAGAACATGTAAGACAATTCTGAAAAAATGACCTAACCCCAAAATACCGTGATTTCCATGTATGTTGGCGTGTGTTCTTGGATGAAACAGATAATAAGTAGCTGCCAAGGAAAACTTGTTCGATTAGGCTTTTCAATGGATTCCAATCATTGTTGTACCTATGCAAGGTGTGTGCACCTTATTCTCTGGTCAGTTTCTGCAAGACAAAATAATCAATGATTGGATGAGAATGTGGGCAAACCACAAGTTGCTTGTGGTTATAGAGAGTACTGTTCTTGATTTTTATTTTTATTTTTCTCCTTTTCTTGTTTTCCAGTTCAGAATTTCAGACCAGAAGTAAAAAAGTTTAATCATGCACAAAAAGGAAATCCTTCAATTCCTCTGAAAGATTCGAGCTAGTATATATTACTATTAATTTTATCAATTTAACACTGATTTTTTTTCTTAATAATGCTAATATATTCAATTTTTTATTTAACACTGAGGTTTTATAGATTTAGATTAAATTATTTATTTTTATCTTTAGAATTATGAGGATTCTTTTCAGATTTTTAATTTTTTTTTTAATTCAAACTTAAGAAGATAGCTTCTAAATATTAAATGAAGAAATTCCACTTAAGATCGCTGGTAAGGTTTCCAAAAGTTGGAAAGGATTTGTTTTTTATGCGCAGAAGTTGGACTCGAATTTGAAATTTGCATCCTCTCGTTTACACAATACTGATAAATCTATCAAAATATGTCATTTTGTGTGTGTTTGTATATTTCTTATATTTCTCACCTTAAGTACCGGTCTAACTTTACTCAAAACGAAATAGCATGCATCGGATTGTATCAGCGAATTGTATTAGAGAATCCATTTTTTACATCAAAGAAAGGAAAACAGATATTGAGAAAAGAAAAGAGAATTGTATTCTTCTTTCTTGATTTGTTCGCAAAAACAAACAAATTAATATTCAAGAAAGGTGTCGTTCCTCATATGAGTCTCATATGGCCGGTGGCAGTCAAACTCAGCAAGTGCGCAGCATTTGCAAAAAACCTTCAAAGTGAGTCAACAGATTGAGAAGAAGGTTCCGATTCCGTCACCAACTGCACATCTGTTTTGAAGAGAAGAATAAACAGCGAGTCGATTGAGAAGTACATGAACCCACCAGGTGAGTGAGTCACAAACGACCCAAAACTCTTCCCTACCACACAGTGCCAGGCCATCCCATACACCGAGTCCAATTCCTGTCCAAAACACAACCGAACTCAGTCTTTAAGACTCGTGCAAATTAAACACATTATAGGCTACGTATTATAACTAGCTAAAACATGCTCGAATCAGTATGCAAATGAGGATAATTCCTGCTATCACTATTGATTAGCTATTAGCGATTGATAGCTTAACACTAATTAAACCTTCTGATACTGTAGGAGCGCCGATGAACTATTTCTGAACCAAACATATCTATGTGTTTGGAAATGGAGAGATGAGAGAGACCTTTTTAAGGGCACGAGCAAGGAGGGTAGGATTGGGGCGTTGCTTGGGAGCTGATGATAGTGATGAGTCGTCAAGAAATGATCTTGCATAGCGTAGGGCACGTTCCTGCATGTCAACTGGCATGTCGGAAGATCTTAGCCTTACATTTAGGCTTAGTGCAATGGCAGCTAGCTTCATGACCTCCTCTGTCGGAGACCTATCTTGGCTCATTAATGTTGTTGATTCTTGTTGTCTGCTTTGAGAAGTGGAATAATGTTGTTTCAAACCAGCAGCTTGCTCTTCTTTCTGTATTTGGGAGGTCATGATCTCCGAGAACAAAAAACAAAGAGAATATATGCGAAGGTAAAGATTGGAGCTCTTCTCGATTGAGAGAAAACGCTGCTAGCTTATAATTTTCGAAGAGGGGCCTATTTTGATTGACTGATGGTATGTCCAGACAGAGTTTAGTTGAGAGGAGCAAAGTATTGGCCAATAGTAGTTGTACAAGTGCACAAGTTTAGGTAGTTTTGCTTCATGTGATCGGACAGTTCTTTCATGTGAGTCACAGGGGCGTGGTTGTAAGTCAAGGTCATTGTACCAGGGTATGGATGCTGACACGAGGAAAGCATGGAAATGGCTTTGCTATAGGTTTGAAATTCTTTGTTGACCAAGATTGAATAAAATCAATCATATTAATTACGAATCTTTCTATGCTGAAATATTTTGCTATAAGAATCTAGGGAAAGGTTGCCTTTTAAGTTTTAACAGCCAAAATTAGGAGATTTATAATGCAATTACCACCATAGAAAATTGAAATAACATGCTCTTTTTTGTTTTGATATCTGTATATTAGAAATAAGAATAATTCTATTTGAAATTAGATTGATAAGATTTAATTTTTTTTATAAAAAATACGATTCTAATTTCAAAGCCCGGATATTAATAAAAAAAATCGTTCAAAAACCTATTTATTTACCACTAGATCAATAATTTTTTGGTTAAATAATATATTTATTTTAGTGTAAAAAGACAATGATTGTGTCTTGCATCTACATATAAAATTAGTTTGAAAAAGTTTTGAAGAAATGAAGAATTAAAGTAATTGAATTCATATACAAATTGGCACGCTCTGATCGAAAATTTCTTTCAAATTATGATATGCTAAGTAAAGTTTTACAAATTTTTTAATGATTAAATGAATTTTGAAAATTTTGATTTAAATAGTAATAATTCATTTTGATCTATAATTCAATCATGTGTCCTGATGGATCCATAAAGTCTAATTATATATAAACCATGAAATTCATGATCTTGTAATTGATGTGTTCTTAGTGATCTTCTTCATACAAAATTTAATCTTGATTGAATATAAATTAGTCTGAAAATGCTTTTTACCATAAAAAAAAAAAAACACTAATTTTTGTAATCAAATATGAGCATTTTAATCTCAACATGATTGTTTATGTCCTCTATTAATATATTAATTGCGATGTCACACGTTTATAAAATTTAAAATTTTAATTTTTATACTCACAACAGTATTATAAAATTATTTTACAGGGACTTTAACTTTTATTTAAAATTATCCACATTTGAATTAATATATTCATGAAAAAAATTTCCCAACAATCCCCGTCCAACGTCATTTTGTTATTAGAGGAAAAACAAGAAAAACAGGAGATATTATTGTGATGTATAAGTAACATTATCATATTTAATTCGTGTGTTTACATTATAATTAGCAACTCTAATTCGTAATGTGGTTGGAGTGGGAATTACATATAAAGAAAGAGAGAGTAGTTACCTGTAAAACAAAAAGGCATACAAGAGAACTAAATTATAAATTAGTTCTTCTAATTTAGAAAATAAATAAATTAATTAATCTTATTTTTTAAAAAAAATATTATTTAATTTTTTAATCGGTATTAATCTTATTTAATTTAATACTATTTTTATTTCATAAAATTTATTATTTCTTATATTCTTATTATATTTTTTTTATCTATTTCTTAAAATAAAAAATTAAAATAAATTAAAAATAAATAAATAAATAAATTTAAAAAATAAAAGAATTAAATAATTAATTTTTGAAATTAAATTTTTTTTTATAAAAAAAAAAAAAACGAGAGGCACTAATTTATGACCTGCTCCATACTAGAGAGAGAACAATGAGAAACGAGCCAAAAAAAAAAACTATATCCAGTTATCCACTCATTAACTAAACTCTTTAACTCCAAACAAACACCAACCAAAGAGTAAATAGTACTCCATATATCAACATCATCGGCCATCTCTCTCTCTCTCTCTCTCTTCGCATCACTCTCCGTCTTTCACTTGTTTACGATTCTTTCGCTCTCCAGATAGCCAAGCCAAAGCCAAAGCTGATACGATTCTCCTCATGGCTACTGTACTCGAATCTTTCACTGTTCCTCCTCGCTTTTCTACCACCTTCTCTAAACCTACTACAACTGTCGCTGCTTTTTCTTCGCCTATTAATCGGAGATCGCTTCGCTTGCCACATGTCAAAGGCCTTAAGGTTACCTCTAATTCGTCGACTATAAATCGATCTCTTGGATGGGCGAGTCAGAGTAGTTCTAGACTCGCTCGTGGTGGAAGGATCGTTTGTGAAGCGCAGGAGACTGCTGTCGAAGGTTTGGATCGTAGATTTATTTTTATTTTTTTATATTTTTAATGATTTTGTGGCTTATTTTGTTAAATTTAAGTTCGGAAAAGGAATTGTAAATTTAAGCTTTTTTTTTTTTTTATAAAATGGTAAATTTAGGAATTGAAGTCATTGTTCAAGGTATTATCAATTCAATTCAATCTAATAAAATAAGTGAAATTAATTCTAGTGTAGAATTTTAATCTTGATTGTCTTGGAACTGCAGTGCCTGCTGTTACTGACGCAACATGGAAATCGCTTGTGCTTGAATCGGAATCCCCTGTTCTGGTTGAATTCTGGGCTCCATGGTGTGGTCCCTGTCGGATGATTCACCCAGTAATCGATGAACTGGCAAAGCAATATGCTGGAAAGCTTAAATGTTACAAAGTTAACACTGATGATTGTTCTTCAATTGCGACACAATATGGGATTCGAAGCATTCCGACTGTTATCATCTTTAAGAATGGTGAGAAGAAAGAGGCGATTATCGGTGCCGTTCCCAAAACTACTTTAACCACCAGCATTGAGAAATTCTTATAATGGTGGTAAGTGAAAGAAGCATTCGCTGGAAATAAACTCTTCCTTCTCTAATTAGCTGCCAGTGCTCAAAGTTCAGATACTTTAATAAATATTTATCTGCCCTTGTATAGTGATCGGATGCAGCTGTATTATATGTTACCTTTGATAACGTTGGTAACTACATGTTTCTGACCTAGTTGAATGCATGTTTAGTAGCTTCTTCTTGCATACTGTAGATTAAGCTGAAAACTGTTGGCTTATCCTCCTCTTTTCAAACCTCCTGAATTAGTGACGTGCGAAATGCAGTGGGAACTGAAAGCTGACTTAATGCATTTCGTTTTATGGGTTTCAATTACTTTAACAATTTAGTTCGGTTTAAAAGTTTTTAAATTCAATTTTGATTTGGTTTGATTTCCTTAACCCAAGGAAACGAAGATGGCCGTATTGATTTTTAATTATTTTCATATGATACACGTGCAGTGAAATATATGGTACAAGATTTGTATGAGTCATTGTACTTTCTGCTGTCTAGGAAATCGAAAATTTCGAAACTGACCTAATGATGCCATTTACTGGATCCAAAAATGAAATACTCACCCAAAGATCTTGGTGATATGGTGGCAGTGTGGGCCAATGGGTGTGTATAATTTTTGTCTGATAATATTGATTGACGGAAATGTTTGGCCTTGGATGCTTGGAAGCAATGTAGGAGAAATTAAGTAGAGATTCTCAGTTGGCCTTGTGATATGGAACACTAACTATCTCATCTTAATCCCTAGTAAAGTCCCTGCATATTGGTTTAAGTTGATTAGTGGATGCGTCAAGTTTGGAACAACTGTGTTTCTATTTAACACTCTGTTCATGAACACAAGATGCCTCCGATTGTTTTGTCTTCACAACATTTGTTCATGCTAATAGACGACTGATGATCCATGATGAGGTGTCGTTTAGCAGGTGTGATTACTTGTATTTTACATGATTCTGTCATACGAAAGGCCATTTATATCACTGTAGTCTCTGATGCAATTATTGTGTCTACATCTGCAAGCTCTTGAATGTAAAAGGAGTGACTGCTGGTCAATCTAACGTTTGGTGTTTTGGTAAATAAAGTGGGGGTGGGGCTTAGCTCATATGGTGTGGACTACGTCCTATTAGCTTTATTCTTTACCCAGTTGCTCCCACTTGTAGGCTTTGTTTTGAGGCTTTAGTTTTGCATCTTTCTCTAAGATTGAATGCAATCTGAGACAAGCTTTTGGACTCTGTAAGATGTATTGATATGAAGATGCTTTGAGTTCCTTCTTTCTGAGGAGAAAGATGGAGCGTCTCTTTATGTCAACCACTCAAGACCATCAGTTCATCAGATTCCAAGCTGCAATTGTTGAGTATAACAGCTCTCACAACTTCAAATCTTAGCATCTGAGATAGAAGCATGATTTGTGAATTGTTAATTGTGTCGGAAGATTGGTGGATTCAAATTTGTTTAATTGTTCCTTTTAGCTTAGACTTGGATGGCCTTTATTATTTTTGGAGTAAGACTTCATTCCTTTTATACTTTTCCTGGACGGTTAACATTGAAGTGTTAGTTCAGTTACAAGACAAATTCTTTCCATTTGTTGTCCATCTGGAATGAAATGAATCAAAGGATTTTAGAGGAATTCAGGTTACTGTATTGGTGGATTATAGCAGAATCATGTCGCAAGGATGCACTATCATGAAGATTTCCTTGGGTGTTTTTCTATGACCACCGTGTGAAATTGGTGCTCTGCTGTAGTGAGGTGAATGAGAATGGACAATTGTTTCTTACATGATTCGGATTGTGTAGCACTGTTCCCACTCTTTCGGAAGTGCTGTCGTATCCTCGTGGGCATGAAAATGCAGCCGTCTGACATGTTCTAACATGGGTTCATGTATAAATTCTGCCATGGCAATACAAGACCTTTTTCCTCGCATGTGCGGTAATTGGTCATATAAATGAGGGTCTGATAAGACGAGTACACCTTTAAGAAGGTTATAGGGTGTGGGAGAGAACAACAGGATTGGAAATGCTTCTACATTTATGGATGTTGGCCTTCAACTTCAGAATTTTTCTTTTCTTTTCTTTTCCCTGAACTCCGTGCCTTAAATTCTGGTATTTTTCCTGGCGCATTTGTTGGTTTCGTGTAAGAGCATGCCAAGATTTCATTTGTTGCTTTCCTGCAAGACCGTGCCATGAGTGGGTGTGGAACAAATTTCTCTCATCCTGAAGTATAGTTGCCCAAGAAGCAGAGGGAAACTAACGGTTGCTTAAGAGCAAGAGCATTTTCTGTTGTATCAGAAGCAACAAAATATATCCTATAGGTTTTATAATCCAGTCGTATCTTGCTTCTCTCGTTATGGAACTTTGGTTTCTACCGTTTGTCTTCAACACTTTGGCGTTTAGGTTAGGCAGCATCAATCGGCAGTATCACTTTTAACACTAACAAATTAATGAGTATGAATGAACAATCAAATAATCCTTTGTACCATAGGCTGATATTTTAGGTCCCACAACAAGAGCTCACATAAACAGGATTATCGGTCTGGACCTGTGGAACTATGGAAAAGATTCACCCACATCAGATTCATGGATTCTCATAGTGATAGAAGGGGTTGAATTGACATGGCAAGAGAATTGAAAGAAACATATGTGTGCTCTTGGTGTACGGACGAAATGGAACTGGATAGAGACAATTGCAAAACACACCATACCCCAATAAATATTGGTACAATTGCTTACTCATTTTGGGCCATCATTATTGGTTTATCCCTGTAATTTAGATTTAGTTGGCTTTTACAATTGAATCGTCCCATTCGGTTGTAACTGTCGGTTTATTTAGCAACGTTTGGTTGTAGCCTACAGGTTGATCCTCTGGATTCATGAACCAATTTATTTCACTTAAATTACAACTCTCACCGCATATTGTTGTTGGTTCATGGATCAGCTATTTCAATTATGATCTTCATTTGAAAAAAATAAAAATAAAAATTAATCTCCCCTTTCCTTTTTTTCTCTCTTTCTAATTACAGGAATTATCCTCAAACTAGCTTGTATATCAATTAAAACTATCCTTTTTTTTTTTTTTTGAAAAAAAAAATTAAATCTTAAAAATGGACATCCACATCATAGCATTCAAAAAAATAAATTAAAGTCATATATTTTAGCTTTTTAAGCCAGGCCCGTAATCAGCACCAGTGTTAAATTAAAAAAAAAAAAAAAAAAAAGATCGATAGAATGAAGCACTTGAACAAGAGGGCACCCATCTTTTATATGATATTATGATGTCTGCATAAGCAATGTGGCTACTGGCCTTTTACATAGATTCACAAAAACATGTCCGCACTTTAAGGATGGGGATTTATCTCGAACATATTTTATCAATCTCTACATGTTAAAATAAAATATACATATATCAATCTCCAGGTACTCACATCTTATCCTCGTACCCTCTTGGCTTTGACATTCTTAGTTCATACATGCCGCCAAGACCCACGTCCCAAATGCCATGATTTACAGTATAGATCAGGTTGGGAACTTGCAAATTCAATCATCCAGATAAAATTCATGTGACGTACCAGTAACACAAACCCATCTTCAATGTTTACCATAAGATGATCGCTAATTAACAATTAGCATACAGTATCCACAAAATATCCTTATCTGAATTTACAATAAAGAAGCAATCCTTTCGACTGAAGTTAATGTTGGACTAATGATCATTCAAATAAAAACGTGTAAGTCTAGAAAGCGAAGGATAGTTGAATATTTTATATATATATAAGCCTATGTTTGTTTAACAAAAAACAACTTTCAATAGGAAAAACAATTTTGAAAAAGCTATTTTTTAGAAAGTTATTTTCTAAATAAATATTTTCTAGCATTTGTCAATGACAAAAAAAAAATTACTGAAAAATATATTCCAGCATTTATTTGATAAAGAAAATTGAAATATAAAAACGAGGTTGTGATTATTATATCAACGAGTTTTAAGGGAATTTCAACAAAGTATATTCATAATCTCACTATATAAAAATTATTAAAAAATCTCACATACATAATAGTCCATAGACAAAAAGCTATCAAAATAGAGCATATAAGTTACTAATATATTGATGTACCAAAATGAAAAGCACCAATTATAATCAACTATCCGGAAAACAATAATCCATCTAACATCCATAATAATAGCTACCAAGATAACCGTAAAGATTCAACATCTAGAAAACATAAAAGCTGTCTACAAAATCTATACGCATACGAATTCAATTACATAATAGCAAAGCTCGCGTATAACAATAATAGATCCAGCCATTGTTAGCACCTCATGCGGGTGATTCACCATATTCATTGATAAACTTTTCAATCCAAAGCTTCGTATGTTGTTCATTTCTCGCCATAAAAGCCTTTGTCAACTTTTCCTTCGCATCAAGTAATCAAAAATATTATTCAAGATGTCATCATCAAAATCGGTAATCTTCATCACCACATCATAAAGCTCATTTATATAAACTTTGTTTTTGGTTAAAGTATGAATTATTTTGGCCACTTCTCTCACTTGTACGACTAAAATAGATGTAATCAAATCTTCGGTTTCATGACCTTTTTTTCGATGGCTTCGTTTTTAGAAAGCATACTAGTTGATGATGCTTCTTTTCCTTTGTCTATCTCAACTTCATCCGGTGTTATAGATTTCATTTCGAGCTCTCGGCTAAGTTGATATCATTAAAGGACTTGGCAAACTTCATATGGCTATATCTTATCCAACGAACAAGTATTATCTCATTGTACATCTCAATTTTCTTGTTCAAGTATTTCTCATGGTTAGGATGTGATTGTATGTTAAAAAAAAAAAAAATAGAAAACGCCTTATAAATCCAGAAAAATAAGTTGAGATATATAAAAAAAAATTTATATTATCGTTATCTCTTCATCATAAACTTCTTTTGAGATAGTTATCATTTTCAACTCATAATTCCATCCAAAACCATTTTTCTCTTATAGTTGT